ATGCCATCAAATCACTGGAGATGGTCCCAATTCCACTGGCAGTGATTTTTGGTAATTAAAGCATCTCCTCATAACCAAGGCTCCTGAAGGGAGCCTCAGAACCTCAAATGAGGGGTGCAATAGGAAGCATTTAATTAATTAAAAAGACATTTTACCAGTGCAAGCTGAGGATATCATCAATATATGCCACACAAAGTCATATGAACAAGATTTTGTCAAATGTTACAAAAATAAAACCGAACCAATCAACTATGTTAAAATACAGCTGTAATCTGAAACATCTGTATATGTGGTTTGATATGCACTGGGGAACTGTTCTCTCTAACATTTGCCTTTGTCGTAAACTAAGACAATGGCTTCTTTCTAGTGTACGAGCATTTGTGCTTTTAAATAAAAGTGACCTAATTGGACTTGTACAGATGATGCCTTTTATTGCTGTTCACTTTGTTTTCTGGTTCTTTTACACTAGTGGTCCCCAACCTTTTTCCCACCGCAGCCCCGTTTAGCATATGGAGGGGGTGACGTCTATGCATGCGTGTGTGGGCTGTCCATTCATCCATGTGTGGGTGCCTCTGTGCGTGCGTTGGCGGGGCATACGTGCATGGCTGGGGTGTGCATGCATCCATGTGTGTGTTGGTGGGGCATGCATGCGTGTATCTGTGTATGTGGGGGGAGCATATGTGCGTGCAGGGGGCATGCATGCGGGGGGTGGAATATCTGTCTCTGCAGCCCGGTCCTGCCAAGGCCATGGTCCATTTTACACTACAGTATTTGGTAGGGGCATTGGGAGCTGTAGGCAACTCCCTCTGGAGTGCCAAAGGTTTCCCATTCAGGTTTAGTTCTTCAGTTACTGAAGAGTTTAAGAGTGAACATGTGATGTAGTGTTGGTAAGTCAAATGGATGGAAAAGGCAGGAATGCATACTTTTCCATTAATGTGAACATCTTATTTATGATAGATACGATAGATGTGTTTCTTTGTTCACTACAGTCACATTTATTCAAACTAATATAAATTATGACTTGTTCGGGGAAGAAGAAAAATACATATTTCAGTCTTAGCGGTGCCAGGTGGGAAATATATTGTTTGCTATCATCCCAAACGATGTTTTTTGTCATGAGAATGAGAGTAACATTTGAGGTTAATTAGAGATATTAGTGTATGTTTGTTGAATGTGATAGCTAAACTTACATATGAGCAGTATACTTAAAATATGCAGCATGCTGTTTAGGGTAGCTTTTTTTACTTTTTTAAAAAAACTTTTTTCCCTTTCAGGTAATGGTCTAGTATTAAATGGTCTGGGACAGAGGGACAGTTCAACATGTAAACCTTGCTCCCTACCTTCACCCCTGTGGTGACAGTCTTGAGAAGGCATGGGGCACTGCATGTTTCAGCAGTAATCCAGATTAAATGTCAAAGTCCTGCCTGAATAAAATGGTCTCTGGCTGCTGACAGAAGGACCACAAAGAAGTAGTCAGAACAACTACCCTTGCTAGTCAGGAACCTTGTTTGATATATATACAGTTACAGTGGTGCTTCGCTTGACGATGTTAATTCATTCCAGTGAAATCGCTGTAGAGCGAAAACATCGTCAAACAAAACAAAAAAATCCCATTGAAACGCATTGAAAACCTGTTCAATGCGTTCCAATGGGCTGAAAAACTCACTGTCCATTGAAGATTCTCCATACGGCAGCCATTTTCAATGCCTGTAAAGCGAGGAATCCATCCTAGAAAACAAGGGGGGGGGATTTTGAAAGCCGGTGGCCATTTTGAAACCCAACGATCAGCTGTTTGCTGATCGTTGTAAAACGCAAAATTGGTTACAGAAGCAGGGAACCGATCATCGCTAAGCGAAATTCTCCCATTTAAACCATCGTTTTGCGATCGCTTTTGAGATCGCAAAAATGTCAACATAATGCGGATTTGTCGTAGAGTGGGGTAATCGTCCAGCGGGGCATGACTATATATCAAGGTAAAAGGGGGGGGGGGACTGAAAAAATATTTTCACATGCATTACCTGAACTGGTCACTAAAGGGTGCCAGAGACCATGATTTGTATTCTTCACTAACAAGTACTCACAGCATGAGCTCCTGCATCCTCTAGTGGATGGTTCTGGTAGTACATGTAAAATATTTTTCTGGATTTTTCCCTTTTTAATATTTTTAATATCTTCAGACCAAAAACATCTAAATAGAGTAGTCCTAGAAGGAGCTGGAATCTTTAGCATGTATACATTACTGAAACAGCGACATCTACATTGGCTTGGCCATGTCATGAGAATGGCTGACAGTCGGATCCCAAAAGATCTCCTGTATGGAGAAATAGTGCAGGGAAATCGCCTCAAAGGGAGACCTCAGCTGCGATACAAGGAGATCTGCAAGAGGGATCTGAAGGCCTTAGGAATGGACCTCAACAGATGGGAAACCCTGACATCTGAGCGTTCAGCCTGGAGGCAGGCAGTACATCATGGCTGCTCGCATTTTGAAGAGACACTTCTCCCACAGGCTGAGGCAAAGAGGCAGTCCTGAAACCAGAAAAATCAGGGAGCTGGACAGGGGACAGGCTGTATTTGTCTTCAGTGTGGAAGGGATTGTCACTCTTGTACTGGCCTTCTCAGCCACACTAGACACTGTTCCAAGTCCTCTATTCAGAGCACATTACCATAGTCTCTCAAGACTAAAGGATGCCTGCATGATGTGGCGTTATATAAGCAACACACTTTTACCTGGCCTTTCTCCTTAAAAAGGACCCCAGGTTGCTTGCATTATTAAAAGACAATGTTTAAAGCTTTAAACAGTGAGTGTACAAATACTAAAAAAGAGCAAAAGAATAACATAACCCCCCCAAAGGAACACATTTAAAACAGTAAGGTACAATATTAAGTTGCTGAGCTAATCTCATTATTCTGCTTATTTGTACTGTTGTTTTCATTGCATTCTTTCTTCTCAGCGTCTGCATATGCTTTATTTTTTAGTAGTTTGTTTAAAATATTGTGAAATTCCATATCTTGTCACACTTTTATTTCTGTCTATTAGTCATCTTAACACCCCAGAACAATCGAAAAATACAGGCAGTTGTATTGCTCAATATCAACAAACTAGATCTGGCAGATTTCATGACCACAATGAATAGGGCTTTTCAAAATGCTGTTTGGTCTTAATTGCCTATTCATAATGAATCCATGGCAAAATACTTTGTATTACAACAGGGATAATTCATAACAACAGATTCTTCCTGGAAAAATACACACAAAAACTCCTGATTACGAGAATGTATTATTTTTTGACCTTTTCTGTTGGTGTTTTATCTTTCAATTTGGCATGTCCAATCAATTTCATGCTTTTTCTGTTCCTCCCTCTCTCACCTTTCCTTATGTATTGCACTTCTCATCCAGATCAGCAGCAAGAACTTGTGAAGAGTTTTATTTAGTGTAAAGTTTTTATGGACTGCAATCTAGTTCATCAGGTGCTTGTAAATGTTTAGGCCAAACACAAGTATTTTTAGGGTGCCCAAAGCCTTTTTTGTTGTTTTTGTGGCAGCAGAGAAACTTGATACCCCCACTCCAATTAGATAATAAGACTCAAAGCAAATCTAATTTTGACAGGTTGACAGTGATTGCCTCAGTTTATTGTGCATATATTATTCTGGCTGAATGGGCAATTAAAACTTGGTGTCCTCTTGTTACATTCCTCAGCTGATTAGTGTGTTCTTATGCTGACATACTAGGCATTTACTTAGGGCACTGGTTCCCGACCTTGGGGGTAACCCACATGTTCTTGGACAGCACCTCCCAGAAACCCTGGCCAGTACAGCTCGTGGTGAAGGCTTCTGGGAATTGTAGTCCAAGAACACCTGGGTTACCCAACGTTGAGAACCAATGACCTAGGATACAGGTGGGCAACTTGTCTGTAGCTCTTGGGGGTTCTGAGCATGGCTAAGCCTGAATTTCACCTCTACAAGCATTAGATGGACTGGTGGTCTTGGAAATAGGAAAGAAGGGGCAGGAAAGAGGTGCACAGGAGAGACAGCTCCTCTGCATCCTCTTCCTTCCCCCATGTAAACTATGCCGTGCCCAGACCGCCAAACAGCCATTTGGAAGGATGAAGAGTGGCTGTGATAAGGACTGTCTGTGGGACAGAAATTCCCAAGCACCACACTCTGAATTTATATTGTTCATTCCCCTGCTCCAGCTCATTGCACCAACCACATAGCTAGGATGCAGAGAAGGGAAGAGCAAGGGAACATCAATGCGCAGGCAGAGGAAGTGAAGGTGTGAGATGTGTAATGAAGATGTAAGCTGCCAGACAATGAGGAGGGCTGTTTGTATGTGTTCAAGAGGAAGAGGGTGGGATAGATCCCACGTGGCCCTACTCGCTGCTCCCCTCTTGCCCTTGAGCGTTTGCTGTGCATTAGGAAGGGGGGACGTTCTGGATTTAGAATCTTAGTTATGAGTGGAATTGTAGCTACTGTATATACAGTATTTACACAGTTATATGCACCTCTGAATGACAGATACCTCATGCACTTCTAGGGCCCCGGAACTGAAAGGCGCGCTGAAACAACCAAACTTTCGGCCTCTTGTGTTCGTTCATTGGGGTCCTTGCCCTTAAAAATCTGCGTGTCTTTGGACGAAAAGAATGTGACAAACAAGGCAAAAAAAAAGCATGTGTAGTCTAGAAATATAAACGCTTTAGTAACATTAGATGTATATTCTTAAAAGCATCATCGGATTTTCCGTAGAGCAACGTCCTTATTTCTCAAGCCTTTCACTCCGACCGTGCTCAGCAACTTCCTAGTAAGCGCCACCAAATTCTACCCGCCCTGCCCTTTCCCAAGGACTGAGGCGGCCGAAGGTCCTGTGAGAGGAACGCTCGGAATTACTGCAGCAACGCCGGCGCCGCCAATCCCCGCCTCCCTCGGCCTCCGCACCAGCGAACGCGTTTGAGTCTGACTGAGCCAGGCGCCGACCCGTCGCCGCGATGCATTGTGGGCCTCGGCAATATGTCTGCCTCCTTGGTGTGCTGCTGAGGGGAGTTTGGCACTCCGGGACGTTTTCCTTCTGCTTTCCTATCCCTGCTGTCGGGGAACCCTGTGGACGACAAGGAGCTACCGGCTGCCCGAGGCGGGGACTGCGATGGACTGGGCTAGGCTCCCGTCTCAGCAGCTGGGCAAAAAGCCAGCCCCGGCGCGGGGGTAGGACCTTTCCTCTCCATACCGGCCACTACAAGCTCTCGGGAAGAGGCCCAGGAAGAAGAAGAGTTGATCCCAGCTCCTGATCCGGACTGACCCCTTCCAGAGCTGGACTTACTCCGGGGTGAGCCGCCCTCCCCTAGATCTTCTCCAAGGATAGACAGAGCCGTGCCTGGATAAGAAAGGCGCCTACAGCGAAGCTGCCCCCCCATCCCTGCATGCTGAGTCCTTAACTAATTTCCCCCCCACACACGTTTTTGTAGTTCTGCCTTGAGCAGGAGACCATGTTGCAAGCCTTCTCCTCTGTGAAGCTCTTGTTGTGGAAAGGGTTCTCCGCTAAGAATCCCACTTGAATCCAGAGCAAAGAGCCAATGAAACTCCAGTTATCTGTGCTACCAACCTCTCAGAAACAACAGTGGCTCCAGTCACTACTTGAAAGAAAAGGCTGCTGTTCTAACTCTGCACCTGAGTAGGAACTTTGTGACTTTCCAACTTGCGCATTGCCCTCAAACTCTGCAGGGACTCGAGGCATAAGCTTTACCACAAGAATGGCAAGCCTATCCTGCCATCATTGTAACTATTATACTTAATCCAGTGATTGGCCTCGGTTGGGACTCTCTGCTAGATTGCCACTACTGTCTGAAATATTTGTAGATTCATTGTCTTGAGCTTTATTTTGAATAAGTTCTCTATACTTTTCTGCTAAACTTATTCATTTTGCTAAACTCATTTATTCATTCTAAACTCATTCATTCTTGTGTGGACGAGTGGCTTCAATAGAGATATTTATCTGTAACCACTCTGTCTCCCTAATACTGAGAAACAATTCATGGACCTGCTTATCCTACTTTTGAAGAAAGCAGAAAAACAGGCTCCGTAAGCCAATCTTTGAACTGCATTATCTAGAGTGTTAATCAGTTTCCGACTAGAGAGTTGTCACCTATAGGATGATTGCATTATTCCCCAAGCTTGCACATCCCAAACTGAAATCCCTCAGCAGTTGATCAAAGAACGCTGTCATAAACTTTTTATAATTGAAATCTACTTTGAGCAAGGCACTGCTTCCAAAAATTCGCTGGAAAAGCAATCAACAGATTCCTTTGGTCTCCTGGCTACCTTCCTCTGCACACTTTGTTGAGAAGATTTCTGATCAGTGGTTCCTTTGTTTCTCTTCTACCCTTATGGAGTCTGATATGCTGCAGTCACCCCTTCTGGGGCTTGGGGAGGAAGATGAGTCTGACATGATTGACTGGAATCTATCTTTGGCCTTCATGAAGAAGAGGCACTGTGAGAAGATTGAGGGCTCCAAGTCACTGGCTCAGAGTTGGAGGATGAAAGACCGGGTAATGATCTGTAGAAGCAGTAGGATATTTTATTTGGGAGGAAAGGAGATTCTCATGTTTTTGTTTGGTCATTTGGGTTTATATTGTTCTTAGGTGTTTTGGTGCTTTTCTGGCTATATTCTTAATTTCCGTTTGATGAACAGTTACTAAATAGTTGTAGAAGAGGGTAATAAACAAATGATCAATGAAGTTAAAATATATAAATAATTTGTCTTGTCTCTTTAAAGTGAGGGCTTTCCTTTTAAACTAATTAAAATGAGATTGTAAAGCATATGTGAAGAATTATTTGGATAAAGAAAAAATTATGAATACAGATTATGCACAACGTTCATTTGCTGAGATGTCTTAGAACTTTGTTTCCTGGCTCAGTTGTTGCATGGAACATATTAATTAATTTATTGATTGATTGCTGGCAGATAGATCGATTTAGGAATTGTATAATTTAATTAATACTGAAGTAATGTCTTTTTAAGCCAGTGGAGCTGAGCTAATAATATTTTAGAAATCTCTAGATCTACAAGAAACGTAATATCCATTTTTGTTGCATGATGCCACTTTATGGAAAATGTATTATTTTTTGAAATGATGTAGCAGTTAACTTACAGATGTATTTAAGTATTCTGCCTATGCTTAGAAAATAATTTGTTGTATCTGCGTTCTACAATCAAAACATTCACTCAGAATTTTAAAGAGAGTGGTTGGCTTAAGTGTGCATAGATTATTAGTGATGACAGCTCCCAGAATCTTCCAGGGTGGATTTGATTTAAATAAAAATAAATAATGATTAAAATAAAAAAAAAATCAGATTTTTGGTTATTTAAATCAACAAAGTTGATTTAAAAAAAATATTAATCTGTTTGATTTGAAAAAAATGATGTATCCATCCTGTTTCTCATAGGCATTTAGTATGTGCAGATGAGGAAATTTTTATATGCATATGTAGTGTAGTGGTTCTGTGGATGTTGTTTTTGTAGCATATGAAGGTTAACCAAAATAGCCAGGAATGCAATCTCATTGTAAATATGTTTCTGAATGTATAACTTTCTGAGACCCCAATTATATGTTTTTCTCCACAGTAGTAAGAGTGTAGATTGGTGCTGGTGACAAGATATTTTGTCCCTTTGCTCCTGCCCTTTACTAGAATGGTAGCATTATATTGGATTTTTCTCTTGTACAGCTGCTTGCAGCATCTAGATGGAGCATGAGTTGAAACTGTCATGATTTCTTGAACCACACCTTAAAGTCTGTCATAATATGCCTGCTTCCTTGGTGTAGTACAGCTGAGCAATAATAAAACTTAAGGTGACTTTAAGCATCCTTCTAGCATTCAGAACCAGTCTGTATTGCATGTGGGATATTTTCCTTTGTTCTCTAATAGTCTAACTCAGTTGTAAATGTCCATAGAACATGATAAATTGTAGTTTAGTAGCTGATATTTATTTTTAAATGAAAAAGATCTGGTTCGGGTTGTCATTCTTAACTTTGGTTCATTGAGATGTGTATGAGCTTAGATTCCTCAGGATTTACTTGCTTCTCACACCTCTTCCCACTGCCTGACAGAGAGAAAGAGTTTGGAAACTTTTCCTTTGAATTACTTCCTATTTACCCTAGCCAGCAAACTGTTGCTAATCTAACAAATGATTACATTCTAACAAGTTAACTTCAAATCATGGTTGTGATTAGGTATGTTTCTGGTTCTGGGCAAGGTATGGAAGTGGAGATGGGCATGAACCGATTTGTCTCATTTGTAAAGGTGGCAGCACAGGTGGTACTGTTCCCTTCCCCACCTCCTATGCCTCAAACAGCTATTCACCAGGCTCCTTTTGCTTGTTTTCCATGTCCACAACTAATCTCTCAGTCATGAGCAAGAGCACAGGCTTCTGTGCTCTGCCCTTGTGTCTGAGTATGAGATCAGTCTAGGGGGTGGGACAGAGAAGCCTGAGCTGTTGCTGGGACTGGCAGATCAGTTGAGGGGATGGAAAAAACAAGCAGGCTGAGCCTGGTAAGTGGCTGAGGTAGAGGAGATGGGGGATGAGAACAGCAGCTGGGATGAACAAACCGGCTTGTGCCCGTCTCTAAAGTAAAGCCTTCTAAATTCTACAGGAGGAGAGTGGAATGTGGAGTACCTGAGCTGTTGAAGAGACTAAATGCACTCATATCCTGGTAAAGAAAATTTAGTGTGATGTCCACAAGAGCCATTGTCTTTATGTCCAATACCTTTCCATATTTTTACTGTCTATAGTTCTGTTGAAAAGCTTAAAAATTCCTGTAACTCTATACACATACCTTTTTTCACACACTGAATGCTGGCTACAATAATCTACTCATAACCAAATGAACATATTTTGATATAAAAGCATTCTGTAATTTGATGATAATCTTTATTACATTCTGTGCAAAATCAAAAGCTGCCTTGCGCTGTTTCCATCTTGTGATTCTTTGATGAAGGGTGAAAATACTTATTTCTCTTTACTTTGAAGTAAGTTAAGGGAGAACACAAAGGAATATAAAATATGCAAGTACAAGGAAGGAATCAGCCATAGTTGCATTAGAAGCTTTCACTGCTATTTTTCTTTCATGGATTCTGACTGACTGATGAAATAAAAATTCTATTTTTCCATACTGGCATTAATACTGTGCAGGAAGGGCTTTGTGAGGAAACATCTGTCCGTCCCCTCATACCTGAACTTAAGTGGAGACTACTGAATTCAGACCACAGCTCTTTCTGCTGCTAGCTTGGACTCAGTGCAAGCAAATATAAATATAAATAGACAGTCTCAGAGCATTAAAAATTACATTTTATTCAACAAGTAAAAAACTGTAAGTACTCTTGTAACTATGAATGATCTTCTTTCAAATAACCTGCTTTTTCAGGTTAGTGTTCTGTACTGCATCTTCATTTTCTGCAACAAATTCAGATACCTAATTGAAGTTCATTTCACATCTTTTCTGTTGTCAAAGGAGAAGGAAACTAGAAGGATCTGTAACAAAATGTGCCCAAGTGGAATACTGCTGTTCAGGTTTAATCTCTGCACCCGTTTTTTGTCCATCACCAGCAAACAGTCACCATTGTGTGTCTAGTGAATATGTATGTATGTATGTATGTATGTATGTATGTATGTATGTATGTATGTATGTATGTATGTATGTATGTATGTATGTATGTATGTATGTATGTATGTATGTATGTATGTATGTATGTATGTATGTACCCTACTCCCTACATACGTATTCATTTATTTAGTTTGTTTGTTTGTTAGTTCTATACTGCCCGTCTGGCTACTAGGCCACTCTGGGTAGTTTACATAGGCAGTAGGGAACATGAACCCTCCAGATGTTTTGGCTGACGACTCTCATCAGTATGGCAAATTGCAAGGGAAATGAATGGTAGTCTAAAATATCTGGAGGACCAAAGATTTCCTATCCCTTATTTAGGATTTTTGCTAGGTTGGTTATACTTTCATCTTGGAAGAATTCTATTGGTATACAGTTCTTTCTAGAGTGAAATACCATACAAAAAGAAAAGGGTCCCTAGACTGAATGATTAATTTATTTCATCTTCATCAGTTCAAAAGGCATATGAACCACCAGGTTTTGGAAAACAAAGACCAAGACTTGTCACAAAAACTTTGGCTCAATAATTGACAAAGGTTTGCCTAGCACGTCAATGGATTATTAACATTTTAAAGGGGACAGAGAAATGTGCTGTAACTGAATGTGCATGAATCACCATAGGCTTTGGGGAAGTGCTTATCACCACTGATGATAATTCTTATCAGCTGTGCTTGCCTGTTAATTATAAACTTCTGCTCCCAGTATTCTGGCTGAAAGTACTAACGAACACTATTGTGGGCTCTACAAGGCCTAGAAGTTACTGTAATGTTCCTGCTTTCTGAGCATTATCTTTGAATTTTAAAAAAGTTACTAAAATTTACCAGATACATTTTACTAAGTTGATTTGTTTTAAGATCTGGTCATTTTTGTGGGAATTCATAGAAATCTTTTTTATTTCTACTATATCAGTGAGGAAGCAAGATAGTATTTGCTAAAATTCACATAGTAGTATTAGTAGTACTTCGGTATTGCAGAAACAAAGAATGATACTTTGGCAGAATCCTGTTGTGCAACTCTGTGTCTGCTATGAAGATGACATCAGCAGCAGTGGCATGATTAAAGGCTTCTTTTGAGGATTTCCAGCTGCGTGTGACCTTACTGCATTTTGTACAAGTTATGTGCACCCTGAAATTGTCTTTAATCAGGAGAAATTTGCCATTGGTGATATGAATAAGAATGTCTTCCATCTATGTTCACACCGTTGCCACCATGACTGTTTTTCAGTTATTAGGGTCATTGCTTTTGTAGGTATTTAATAATCTTTACCAGGAGAGAGTCATATGACCGAGTGCAGTCCAGTGCAGTGCAGTGTTTTTAGAAATAGCATTATTTTTGTATGTCCCAGTTAGCTATGTTAAGTATAAAAGTATAGAGGCGGGGCATTATTGTTCTGTTAGCTGAGCTGACTCATGAAAATATTATTCTTCTGATTTTGTCTGGTGGTGTGTTTACCAATGCTCAAGGTGATAACTGATTAACAAATACTTTAAATCATAAGTTAAATCGTGATTTAAATAAAAATTGTTTTTTTAAAATTTAAAGTATCAAAAAAATTCCATTTTTTAAAATTTAAATTGTACCCTGCCAATGCTGATCAAGCACATAAACGCATATGTTTTTAAAGAATTGTAACATGTGTATCCTCATAGTATTGCAGTTTATGAGTGTGTAGTTCACAGCCCCTGTAGTATGGAACTGTGATCTCTGCACAGGTTCTGACTTGGGGAGCCATCACTTCTTTAGGCTATATATGAGCACACTTTTAGTTTATGGTGTAAATAAGTAATGTGGAATCCTTTTGAATCCCTTAGAATCCTTTTGTTTTCTTTTATTCATTTCTTTTGCAAATTCAAACAATCTGAGGGTTTAGGCGGTTGATACATTTT